CTAAATGTGTCTTCTTGCATGAAGAAGGACTCGACGAGTTCAAGGATGAACCCGACGAGCCAGATGAAGAAGGTCCCGACTTTGTATGGTGGAGAACTCGGCGAGTGTGTGCAATACTCGGCGAGTAAGATCGAGGTCTTAGTGTTTTGAGGATTTAGGGACTCGGCGAGTTGTGGGGTCAACTCGGTGAGTCGAGTCAACCGGACGTTGACTTTGACCTAGAGTTTACTTTGACCAAGGAGTGACCTTGACTTTGGTTTTGACTTGAGTAACCCTTGTAAGGGTTAAGAGTATGTAATGGTAAATTAAGGAGGGTCGTTACATGTAGGAATTGAGAGCAGTTGATCCCGGCAGCGAGGACAGTTCAGACACTTCACGACATTAATGTGAGTTACCTTCCAGTAGCGGTGGGTCTACGGCCACAATGTCGGCCCACTAGTAGGAGATGTTGATAGATGATTGTATTTGTGATAATTATCTAGGTTTGCTACTACCTGATGTGTTTTATGTGCTAGCATGATATGTTGTATGTGTTAATGGTAGTAGGAGGGGAGAAGTCCCTGAGTTCGGTCGTTAGGACCGAAGGGTAGGTCGGCACCCCAGATATGTCTGACAATATGTTATGTTTTGTGTGGTAGTAGTAGGGGTGAAATAGTCCCCGTAGCCGGTTATGATAAACCGGAGGGTAGGTCAGCACCCCAGAACTGGTTGACATGGGTAGGTCAGCACCCCAGAACTGCTTGACATGGGTAGGTCAGCACCCCAGAACTGCCCGACAGTATGTATATTGTATGGTATGTGGTATGATGGGGGAACTCACTAAGCTTCGTGCTTACAGTTTTCAGTTTTGTTTCAGGTACCTCTTCAACGAAGGGGAAGGAGCCGGCACCGTAGCAGCGCATCGCACACACATGATTTCCGCATTTTGAGATCCATGGGATTTGTACTCTGACATTATTACTATTTTATGTTATGGTTTTGAGACTCGTGACTATGGTTTTATGAAATGATATGAATCGTGGATGTTTTTCTGTGAACTGTTTTATAAAGTTACTTAATTAAAAACAAAAATTTTGGTCTTGAAAATTGGGATGTTACTTTATTTTTCATATATAAAACCTATATATTAATAAATATTACTTTATTCGATTATTATTTTCATATAACCAATTCTTTTATTTAATTTATTTAATGGATTATATCTTCTTTATTGGATTATTATATATTAATAAATATTATTTTTAATAAATATTATTTATATATTAAAAAATATTACTTTTTTCAATTATTGATTTCTTTTTAATAATTCTTTTTTAATTTATTTTTTATTGGATTAATTTTTTTTTATTGGATTATGACATATTAATAAATATTAGTTTTAATATTAATATTTATATATTAATAAATATTATTTTACTTATAACACCCTTTTCAATAATACTTCTTTGAGACTTGATTATTTTAGACCTTCAAATGTGGGATTTTTGGTGACCATGGCGTGGTGGGGTGGAGCACCACGATGTGGACACATCGGATGAGAAAAACGCGCATTTTTATTGTACCACGACGTGGCAAAGGCATGACTACAACGTGGTAAGGGCTAGTGTGTAAAACCCTAATTTTCAGTCTTATCTTTTGTCCGAAGCCTTCTAGATCTAGGTTTTGAGGAATATTCTTCATATTTGTATTGGTTTGAGTGAGTGGATCCCATAAAGTTGGGAACTTCATTGATCCTTGTGGTCCCAATGTGGTTATATGTTATAGATCTAAAGTATTATGAAGTTTTGGTTTTATGCATAAGGTTTTGACCTCTTTCTTCTTAGTTTGACCTAACTTGAGTGTATGACATGAATAACCATAAAGCAAGGGTTTTTATGATGTTTATGGCTGTAGGGAAGCCTTCTGGAAAGGATGAGTATGAGGCTTAATGGATTAAGGGCTTACTCCACTAAAAGGTCCAGAATAGATCCTAAGATGTGGTGAAAGGGTTTATCACGACTGTTTTGTCGTGAGAATACCACGACGTGGTGGCCAATTGAGTTGACTTTGACGTTGACCATTGACCGTTGACTTTTTATCAATATGACTTTTGGTCAGACATTGGTAGAATTGAGTTCTTAGCTAAAAACAAGTCTTAGTTTGGCATTAGGTAGCTTGTTTAGTTATTTGGTTGCTAAGGATTGTTGTTTAGTTTCTGCTAGTTAGCTTATGTGAGTTTCTGACTATACTTTGTATTACAATATGTATCCTTTGCGTGCTAGGATGTTGATATGTTGTAGTGATCTGTTAGGCAGGTAGATTTATTACGATTACATGTGCTTTCTTGTTATTGTTATGTGTATATGTCGACATGTTGTGGTTAGGTTGAGGCGGTCCAACCGTGTGTTGTAGGCCAAAAGGACGGAGTGGTCCAGTTCGTTACTGTATGCCCAATGGGAGTGCTCCAACTTAATACTGTAGGCTCCAGAAGCCGGTCCAACTTTATGTTGAAGTCCTAGAGGATGGTCCAACTTTGTGTGGTAGACCCAATGAGAGCGGTCCAACTTAGTGTTGCAGGCTCTAGAGAGCGGTCCAACTAGATGATGTAGGCTCAGGTGGCAGTCCAACTTTGTGTTGTAGGCCGAAGGAGAACGGTCCAACTAAGTGTTGTAGGATTTGTAGAGTGGTCCAGCTAGATGTTGTAGGCTCAGGTGGCGGTCCAGCCCTGTTTTGTAGGCCTCGTGTGCATGCGTTGTATATGTATTATTATGTAGGGTATTTTGGGGAACTCACTAAACTTTGTGCTTACAGTTATTGTTAAAATGTTTTTCAGGTACTTTATAGGTTCTTTATGATTCGAGATTCCGCATTGTTTTCCCTTATAACTATGATATGGAATTATGGTCTTTGAACAAATGGTTTTGACTTGGATGTATTTTACGAAAATGAGTGTTTATTCTATTTAAAAATGAAAAATGCATTCTAGAAATTAGGACGTTATATTATTGGATTACTAATTTTTTTAATTAAATGATTTGATGTTACGTTGTTATTCTTTCTAGTCATTTTTTTTATAACCCAACGTTTGATTCTTGACCCGGTTCATGTTGGCCGTTTAAATTGTGGTTAGTTCATTCTCGTTATTCGATTTGTAAAATCCGTAGTTTGTTTAATGAATTGATGTTAAGTGACACACATCGGATTGGTTCTATGATGGGATTAACTTTGGTGTAAACTAAAATTGCATGTTTGTATGCTTCCGAGCTTGTGAGTAGTATTGAACATTGTTGGGAACATTCGCACAATACATAATGCGATCTTTCAATATATTTCTAAGAGCTTTTTTAGAGTATGTTGGTAAAGTTAGGTTTAATTCAAAGAGCTTGTTTTGATTAAACAATTTGGTGAATGAAAGATGCTAGAGCTTGTTAGTATCTTCAAGTATCAACTTAGACTATAATTCAATTTGACATCGATTCATCATTAGCTTACATCAATTAGGTGAATAGAACTCGGAACGAGATTGTTTTACTCTTGTTTCTAGTATTTATTTTACTGTATGTTAGTTTAGTTTACTTGTTCTCAAATTCCTCACATTTACTTTTTATGCCCTGGAATAAAACATGATTATTTTGATGTATTTATAGATTAAAACCAATTCCCTAAGGATCGACCTTGTTTTCCATTGTTACTATTATTTTTAAATCATATGTACAAATATGATTTATTATTTGATGGATTCGACACCCATCAAACACCACCATCATCACCTAGTCAGTGATGGGGTGGTGAGATTTTTTTAGAATAAATTAAAATGGTGGTGGTGTTGTCCAAAAAATCCAATAAAAATGAAATTAAAAAAATAACTAAAAGAATCTAATAATTCAATAAAGTAATATTTATTAATATATAAATAATATATATTAAAATTAATAGTTATTAGTATATAATAATCCAATAAAAAAATTAAACAATAAAAAAATTTATAAAAAGATATATTTAAAAGAAATTAATAATCCAATAAAGTAATATTTATTCATGTATATAAATATTATATAAAAATAATATTTATTAATATATAATAATACATTAAAAAATAATTAAAAAAATTAAAAAAAATTTAATTTATAATAAATGAATAAAATTAAAAAAAAATAAAAAAAAATAATCATTGATTGCAGAAATAGGCCCCGAAAGCAAAACCGTCATTTAAAAAAAGTTAACCAAGCTGTTAAAACTAACGTTTTTGGACCAAAAACGCACAAGGTATCCAAAATTGAACCATTGATGCACCACCAAACATTTTTTGACCAAAAACTACTTAATTTTAACAACAAAAAGACCATTTTTACAATTTTTTTTGATAAAAATTTCCATCTAATAACAAAATTTGGTTTCATTTAAACATCTTAACATGCTATATATATTTTTTATTTGGTTTTAAATGAGAACAAAAATAAAACCTGTTACGAGAAAGAACACGAAGTGGGATAACTTTTCAAAAACTTTAATTATCAAACTATCTTCATTATGAATTATACAAATTTACAAAATAAGTAATACATTTGTAAAATTGTTAACTCTTTCCTTTCCAACACTACGACATAAAAGCAACATTTTTTTATTATATTTCCCAACTCAATATATAACATTATCAACTTCCATTTTTATCTATTAAAGATACATCATAAAGCAAAATTATTTGAACAAGACGTTAATTTTGCAAAAAGAAAAGAATAATTATAATTTTGAAAAAAAAAAGCATAACCCTCATTGGTGATCGAGTTCGTTAATGTCACAGTTAGGAACTACACGTGCTTCTTCCAGAGCTCTCCACGGGAAACGTGTACCCATTTTCCTACCGCCACGTGTCTCCATAGTCTCTTCTCGAAAATACGTGTCTCTTCTTCCCCAATATATACACCACATCACCTCGAGAATTCACCATCTGAAAATTAACAACAACAAAACAATCCATCAACAATTTGTTATCAACAGTTCAAAGAGTCCATCATTCTTCTATGGCTTTAAGAGCAACTGTGAGTCGTCATCACCTTTAACTCATGTTTTTTCTTCAACAATGAAAATTGGAATCATTTTTGTGAATTTTGAACCATTTCCTTATCTAATTGTGTTCAAGTATCTGTCGGTTTACCTTGCAGAATTTGGTGAAATCAATGGTGATTCGGTCAAGAGGAATGACAGCGTTTTCTACATCAACCTCCCCCAAGATGAAGGCTTACTCCCCAACCGCTGATCACAGCTATGCCCACCATAATCCGAAACCCAGGTAATTAATGTCATTCTTGAACTGAAATTATGCGACTTATATGTGATTTGTATATGATATCGAGAGTGAAAAATTAATAGTCCGGTGAAAGGTGCATATGCACCGGTGTATATCTCGCTGGGGTTGATTATGATGTCGGTTAGCATCGGAGTGTTCACTGCCACGCATCAGCTCAGGAGGGCGCCGAATGTTTCCGTGAAGAAGTCAAAGAGAGAGACTTTGCCGGAGCTGGTGGAGCCGGAGAAGGTGGCGGAGGAGTCGAATGAGTTCATCAAGAAGTCGTTCTTCAGGAAGATAGCACATGTGCAGGAGGCGGATCGCCTGCAAGTCATGCCTGATCCTATCCGAGGAGATACTTACACCATGTAAATATTATTAACAAATACTTGCTTCATCAAGTAATTTTTTCCTGAGTTATGGTGATAATTGAATCGAGTTGACATGACACTATGACAGGCACCCGAAGCCATATACAGAGTCGCTGAAATCGGTGGGAGTGGAGGTGGAAAATAAGCCGTTTGTTCAGCCACCACCGCTGAAACACTGAAGCTGTCGTTCGTTTGTTATCTTTAACAGGGTGTCGTACACGTGGTTACTTTTTGGTTGATTTTTTCATGGTTCAAGTTGGGATCATATGCCTGTAAATATGCAAAAGCTGTTTCTACTTGGTGATTCATAGTTTGAATTGCATCCAAGTGATGATGGGGTCAACCTCGTAGTGTATATTTGAGAAGAAACGTTTTACTTTTGTGCTTATTGATTAATGCGTGTTGATATCTTTTAATCTGAAAGAGTTGGTGATGAGTGAATCTATAAGTGGGTCTAAGAGTTCGTAGAGAGATTTGTTATGTTTGCAACTGAAAAAGCTAGCCTAGCATCTTGGATTAAGATGGGAAGTAGTACGTATTAATATTGAAAATGTTACATAGTGATAGTATGCATACACATTCAGGACATTAAACGAAGTAACGAACTCGAACGACATCTGATCAAATAATTCAAATGTTACTGATACGAATCTTCAAAATCAAAGTTTGTAGTACCCCAATTAACGAACTCTTAACGATGTGAACTTATTCTCTTAACAAAATGGTCTTCGTATTCTTTCTAGCATTTAATATCCTCCGGACTGCACTCACGAGTCACGACCAAGCATGTATCTTGCTTAAATATTCCAAAATAAAGATGGGATATTAAAGAGTGAAAACTTCAGTCGAATATATGCGACCTAAATTTCAACCAAAAAGTTGTATATTGGTCCAAATACCTTGAGACAAACTCCAACTATCATAGTAAATATAAAATGAAATTGGTGCATCTTCAACCGTAATTGTATTTCAACCGTATATTAAAATGATGTAATTGTATTTCCACAATAAAACCGTATATTAAAATGATGTAATTGTATTTCAACAATAAAATGATGTTTTTTAGTAGTCAAATATATTAAGGTTATCCAAGTAAAGGTTGGTTGAAATGAAAAATAAAAAAACTACACCACCACAATGGTGTTTCTTAGAGTATCTCCAATCCATCGTCGAATCAAAAATTTTCTTTATTTCTTTTTTTATTCTACTCCAATTCACCCTTATTTTGTCTTACCTTATTTCCATCTTCTTTATTTCACCACGACATAATGAATACTATTTATTTCTTTTAAAATAGAAGTATCAATTGTCGATATGAATAATATTTCATCAAATATGGAGGACATAATGAACACTATTCATTTCTTCCGAAATGAAGTTGAAGTTTCAATTGTCGGTTTTAGTCTCTTCCTTTTTTATTTTATATATTTATAGTTTATTTTTATCTATTAGTTATAATTCAAATGTAATATTTTATATTTTATATATTAAATCATATTAATTAATCATAAAGGTAAAGTTTAATATTAATGTATCGAATTCACATAAAAAAAAATATATATATTAAAAACTTCAAACACGTTAACATCTTATAAAAAACTTCAAACACGTTAACATCTTATAAAATTATATAATCGAATAAGGCACTTTTATATATACAACATTTTCATATATAGTTCATGTCAATCAAGAAAAAGATAATTTCTTTTCATATATACTAGTTCGGTCTTGTTTTATTAACGTTTTTCAGGCCTGATCCAGTTCTTACCCAAAAACTAGAAATTAAAAAGCAATGAAAAAGGGAACCAACCCTATTATAAGTACTTCCGGTTTGGTCCCGGAAGGATCTGGTTTTTCAGTCCAGTCTATAAAATACATTAGCGAATCATTTATAGAAAATTTATTCCAACACAAACATATGTATTAGTTTTTTCAAATGTAACTGTAATATTTGTAAAAGATGTATGTATACCATTTATTTATAAGTATGTTATAAATATAATTGTATTTATTTAATAGTTATTCTTAATAAATTAATAATTAATTCAAATTCATTATATATGAACATTTTATTTTGTTATAATTTTATGATAACATAATTGATAATATTATTATAATGAAAAAGATAGAATATATATTTTTTAAAATTTAACTAGTAGAAAATGGGGTTAAGAATGGAATAGGGTTGCAGATGAAACACTATTTACCCTATTTTTACTCCATTTTAGAGAAAATAATTGAGATGAGTTGGAGATGGTCTTATAAAACTATTAAGTACGTCAATATTAAATATGTTACAATAGCTTCCAATAATAAAGCTTAACGATCTTCAAAATTGATTCCACCTTGAAATAATGTCTTTCTTACTGACATCAAGTGAGTCTCGGTAGATAACCGACTATTGAAACATAAATATATATAAAAAACATGAAAATGAAAATTAAAACTGAGGCGAAGCTTCCAAACTTTTAATGGTTTTCATCAAAGAACAAGTGACAAGATCTTAATACCCTAACATTTCCAAAACCGATAACATCTAAAATATGTAGCACCTTTAGCATATTATGCATCATAAAAGACAGGACCTATAATCATGCAACAATAGGAAAATAGCCCACAAGGCCAAATCTCTTCCTGCTCCAGAACAAACAATATGTCTCTTGCCTTTAAAAGCATCTAATGTATCATCATAATCAATTTGAGCTAATACAACTTTCACCTTTACTTGTTATAGAAAAATAGGAAAGAATGATCTCACAATCCAAAAGTAGAAAATCATACTTCATAGAATCCATGAGAAAATTGATTCATAAACTTGTACATATTTAGGATAAAAATCAATAATAATGTAGCTTGTTTATGGGATTACCAAAATTGATCTTAACTATAAGAAGCCCAAGGGTGAAATTCGATTATGGTAGATGTAAGTATAGGATGAGAGAGTATATGAAAAACGACTTAAAATAATCCTTTGTAGGGTTGTAGAAAATCAATTGGGTTTGTTTTTGGAACAAGGGTTTTGGACTCTTGAAACCTTGGCTTTTATACTACTTGTTATAAATGTTGATAAACCTAAGAAGCGAATACTAATAACCAAGAACATAAAATATTGGTGGAAACTCTTGTAGGAAAAAACCACAAGGCTATATTTGTGGTAAAGGGGTTTCAACAGAAGGATGGGGTCGATTGTAATGAAATATTCTCCCCAGTTCTAAAAATGACCATAATCAAAAGGTCATTAGTATCGTAGCTTCGAAAGAATTGTGTATGTAACAATTGGATGTGAATAAAACTTTCTTGCACGGTGACCTTGAAGAAGATATTTATATGGCACAATCAATCAGTTTAAAAATTGCTAGAAAAGAAAACAAGGTGTAAAAATTTAAGAAGATTATGTACAGATTGAAGCAAGCTCCAAAGAATGGTACTTGAAGTCTAATGATTTCATGAAGAAAACGGGTACAAAAGATTTGAGAGTGATCTGATCATTGTCGTTACATGAAGACCTCTTATATCACAATGTTTTATTCTCTTGCACAACCATCTTGGTGTTTTATTTGCTATTGTGATCGATTTTGGGTAAGTTTCCTTTTCTATTGATATATATACATGAACAAATAGGCAAAAGTTAAAACGGTATTTTGTGATAGTAAAATAAGTTTTGAGTAACTTTTTAATAAAATATAAAAATTTGAATCTAAGGCTCTAAGGATGCGGAGCGGGGAAGGAGTGTGGGGGACGAAACCGCACTCGAAAACACTATATTGGTGTTGCGATTCGTCTGGCGTGCGGAAGGGGCAAGGGGTGGCTGCCTCGCCCTCTCTCCTGTTATGATTGTTCAACCTTTTTTTTCTTAGTTTTTTTAATATTTATAAAATTATATATATTAAAAAATTATATTAAAATTTATGGTTTTTAATTTCTTGCAAAATGAGTATAGGATTTGAATATTATATATTTTAAAAAAATAATAAAAAATTGAAAGGTAGTGAAACTTGCTTTTTGGTAAGTGAAAGATGAATGAGTAAAAAACTGACGTTACATTAAAAAATTGAGTATACCTTCCGGTCTAAAACAAAGAGGTGAAAGACTATTTTTTTTAATAAAATATAAAATTTTGAATCGATAATTTTTTCTTTAACCAAATTATAGCCAACTCCTTTAGCACAAAATTTAATAGAATTTAGTTAAATTCCAAATTACTTTGATTTCATCATTCGAATGCAACTTTTACAATTCAAGTTCTTTAATTTTTTTCAAATTCATGTGATTTTTTATTTTATTTTTTCAAATTCATCTTTTTCAGAAAATAATTCAATTTCAGCCAATAAAAATACCTTAAAAATTATATAGGGTGTCAAAATGATAGGCGTGTTCGGCACGAAACTTTTGGGAGCGTTTGAGAGCTTCTAGCTTCTAGCGTTTGACAAAACGCTTTGTTTTGAACAGAAAACCTCCTTCGGCACTACAAGCTTCTACCGTTTAGTTCAAACAAAACGCTCCAAATCCAAATGTTACTTCACGTAGCGTTTGACAAAACGCTATAAACTACAAGCTACCCGCTACCAGCTAAATTTGCCGAACATGCCCAAAATGAGGTGTCTTTTTAACCAGCCCTATTAATAATTATTTCCATTTGGATTTGTATTTTAAATTTGTTGCCGATAAACCCCGCAAAACCCCGAATTGTTCCCATCCTAAACGAAGCCCATTCTACGCATTATAGCCGTTCATCTCGGATTGCTGCATACGACGCGAGCCATGTTTGAAAAGGCAACGTGGCAATCTCTGATTGATTAATTTCCGCGCCATGCGATATTTTTGGTTAAACCATTTTGACGTAACCACTCCCGAGATCCATATATCTACTACACACTTAACAAACTAACCAAAAGAAGAAGCCATTCAGATCGGAAGATCGACTCTGGAATTCGATTCCTCGGATTATGGAAGAAAGCAAACAGAGAATCTGTTGTTTGCAGTTCTTTTGTTTCATTTTGATCGGTTGTTTCGCTTTTCAAACTTTCGCTTCTTCTGCCGGCACTGTAAGTGACCTAATTAACAATCAATGAATGTGTGTTCTTATCGCGTGTTATGATATGATTCCATTGGTTTCTGAAGTGCTAATGCTTTTGTTTTTTTCGTTTTAGTTATTTTACGAGTCGTTTGATCAATCCTTTGAGGATAGATGGACCGTGTCTGAGAATGAAGAGTATTTAGGTTAGATATGTTCAGATCTACAATCTGTTTATTGTTAACTCTGCTATTTGTTTTGACGCATTTTTTCAATTGTAATCAATTGCTAGCATCTCATGATTGTAATCTATGCGATGTACTATTATTATACATCATCCTGCAAATTCAATATCGGAATCAATTGATTCATTCATGTGGTTACTCAGGTGTATGGAATCACTCAAAGAGCGAGGGACATGATGATTATGGGCTTCTTGTAAGCGAGAAGGCTAGAAAGTACGCAATCGTTAAGGAGCTGGAGAAGCCTGTATTGGTTAACAACCGTACAGTTGTTCTTCAATTCGAAACTCGCTTCTACAACCAGCTTGAATGTGGTGGCGCATATCTGAAGTACCTCCGGCCTCAAGAATCCGGCTGGACTCCCAAACAATTCGACAGCAATTCTCCTTACTCAATCATGTTTGGCCCAGATAAATGTGGCTCCACAGAGAAGGTTCATTTCATCGTAAACACCAAGTTCCAGATGAATGGAAAATACGTCGAACACCATCTCACCTATCCTCCTAAAATCCCTTTAGACAAAATGACCCATGTCTATACTGCCATATTGAAACCTGATTACGAAGTGAGTATCTTAATCGACGGAGAAGAGAAAAAGAAGGTGAATATCTTGTCACCTGAAGATTTTCATCCACCGATTGTTCTCCCAAAAACCATTCCCGACTATGGCGAGCACAAACCTGAAGATTGGGACGACAGCAAACAGATTCCCGACCCAGATGCCAAAAAACCCGACGATTGGGATGAAGATATACCAATGGAGATTCCAGATGAAGAAGCTGTGAAACCAAAAGGATGGTTAGAAGACGAACCAGATGAAATCGATGATCCGGAGGCGGTGAAGCCGGAAGATTGGGACGATGAGGAGGACGGCGAGTGGGAGGCTCCGAAAATCGACAACCCTAAATGCGAGTTCGTAGGGTGTGGAAAGTGGCAAAGACCAATGAAGAAGAATCCGGATTACAAAGGTACATGGAAAGCTCCTCTTATTGATAACCCTAACTACATGGGAGTCTGGAAGCCTCGCCAAATCCCAAATCCCGAATACTTTGAACTCGAAAACTTCGCAGTTGAACCCATTGCCGCCATTGGAATCGAAATCTGGACAATGCAAGAAGGAATTTTGTTCGACAACATTTTGATCGCAAATGATGAAGCGACTGCAGCATCGATTAGGGATACGACATGGAAGCCGAAGTTTTTAGTAGAGAAAGCGAATCAAACAGCAGAAGAAGACGCTGCTGGTATTGAAGGTCTCAAGGATATCCAGGTAATCAACCAACTTAAACAAAAGTTCAAAACATGGTTTAATGGTTTTCATTTCACTTTCTTTGTTTTGATAAATTTGATTATGAAATTTTGCAGAAATCTGTGTTTGATGTGCTTTACAAGATTGCTGATTTACCTTTCTTGAGTGGACACAAGATGAAGGTTATGGTAAGTTATTAGGGTTTTTTTTTTTCTTTTCATGAGTATTTGGAACTTAATTTTTTATTTTTTTGTCTAGGAACTTATTGAAGAGGCCGAAAAGAAACCAAGTCTTATTGTTGGCATTATACTTTCACTTGCTGTTGTTGTTGTTAGTCCCTTGTTGAAGATCTTGTTGGCTACCAAAAAGAATCAAGTGAGAATTAGCAAACTTTTTTTATTACAACTTTTTTAATGTTTCGTGTTCTAATTATTATTTAAAAAAAAAATAGACAAAGGGGAAGGAGGGAGGTAAGATGGCGACCGCTCAAGGCGAGGATGCAACTTCTCCTCGTAGGAGGAATACCAGGCGCGATGGTTGAGCAGATTAGCTTCTTTGGTAGAATCAAGGCATTAGTTTTGACTGAAGATTTAATCTAATTAGAAGTTGTTTTTTTTTTCTTTTTCAAAAAAAAAAATAAATAAATACATAAGTGAGAGTTTTTTTTTTTTACGAAAATAAGAGTTGGTCGTTTTTAGAGGTCTTTTGGCAACATGTTAAATCAATCAAATTGTAATTGATGCAACCAAGATTTGAGTATACAATGTATCCTTGCATAAACATATAACATAAGTACCACAAAGGTATAGCTAGGAAGATTGGGGCATTAATTAGGCTATGGATAAAAACAAGACACCATTCGGATCAAAAGCCTAACAAAAGTAACATATTTGTTGATGAGTTTAATGTCATCAAACATTATAGAGTTTCCTAAGTCTTCATGTTAAAGCGAGTACTTAAATATGTTTTGAAATGTTGACGGGCATGACCATCAAGGAAAAATTCAAACTTTGGAAACCAACATTGAGGTGGAGCTCATAAAGTGAATTTCTTAACCTTCAAACATGATTATCATGTGATAGTTAGGAAACTTCATGTATACCTCTTTTAAAAGGTCACCATGTAGAAAGACATTATATGCATCCATTAGATGCAATTCCAGTGTCAATTACATGCTAGACCAAAAAGGTATGTATTGATGGAGATAGTATGCAAGATATAAACAAATTATTGTATTGTTGATTATGTGTGAGACTAGTGGCTCACACACTAAGTCATAAAAGATTCAAAATAAATAATAAATATTTATAAGATAATTTTGTTATTTATCAACTAAAATAAATAATAAAACAAATAGTTTATTTATTATTTATTAAGTCAAAGAAAAACTAAATAATTGGCTTATTTAATAATTAAATAAAGAGTTCATTTAACAAGCCAAATAATTAATTAAATGGTTTTAGGTTGACTTGATTAATGGTTTAAAGGCTTGCCTAAAGCCTACGATTAATACAAAGTATAAAAGAAAAACTTCTTGGGACTTTTCTGATGAGAATTCTCAAGAAGCTAATTTTCTTCATTTCTTTTCCCAATCTAAACCACAAAATTTCTATCCTACCTCCTCAAGTTGATCGTCAGTTTTGGAACAACGAATAATCATATTGGTTTTGCTTTGATTAATTGATTGTCTAGCAGCTATATGGATTGAATTGTGTGGATATGTCATAGTAACAATATATTTTGATTGTTATCACTACATCAAAAGTAGATCTCAATATGGTTGTATTAGTTAATCATAATTGTCTAAGTGGATCAATGGTTCTTAGGTTTGTTTAAAAATTTTAAATACTATTTTTCGCTGCAAATCTGGTTTGTTTAATTTTTTAGATTTCATCAAACCCCAACATGTAATGTGACCAGTTATTCTATAGGAGAAAAAGTTTTAGTACATTCGATGCCTTCAACTTTATGAGTTCCAAACACGACCAAGCATACCATATGTCACTCTACGATGTCATCCTAATTATATATAACCTTGTACACATATTTTTTCCGTATAACTTTGTTTCCCTTTAGTGAAGTTTCAATGGTCCAACTTCTATTTATCCACTAATGCTCATATCTCCTTTCACATTGCTCTACACCAACCTTTGTAACACATATGTTTGGATGTTAGATGTTTTTAACCTTTAAGTGAGAATATAACATTTAAGTAGTTAACTATCAGTATTAAATGACATCTTAAGTGTAAATTGAATAAACATATAAGCAATGGATAATAGAAGATATTTCACTTGGAATAAATTAAGGTATATTGACATTTCGAACTACATTTTTTCTTATTGTTTTAGCCATATTTGTGAAATATAGAATCTTTAGGTAATTATATGAAAATAACCTTAATTATGAGGATTAAAATGCCACTAATATCAAACCATCTCTTTATTAATTTGTGAATCAAGTTTGTTCATTGGATTTTAAAAAGGTTTTGAGCAACTTGAGAGAAAATAGAATAGAGAAGTCTTTCATCTATGTTTGATCGTAAGTAATTAGTGAAAACGTAATCTTAAGTTAAATATCATCATTACAGAGTAATCAATCAATTGGAGATCATCGAGGTAATGATTTCTATCCATTGTAATGAATTTGTTGGGTTTTTGGAAAATTTTGGAAGAATCGTCCATTTCCTCGAAGATTTGATTATTCAAATGTGTATAAGAATGTTGGAATTACGTTCTATATCTACCTATGGTCTTCGGTCGATTGCAATAACATTTATTGAGTTCAAATCAGTTTTAAGAAGCATAATTGCCAAAATACGATGTTAAGAAATTATACAATGTCACACCCTCGGACCAGACGGCGGAAACGTCCGGAGGCGGGTGACTGTTGGGTTAATCGGTTTTGGTATAGGAGAGTTGTCTTTTATTAATTCTCAGTTTTAGATTAGGAGTCAAAGTCTTTTATTTTATTGTTTTAGAAGTTTGAGTAGGTTTCAATTTCTTCTAGTATAAAATAGGTGTCAAGGGTCATTAGTTTTATTTTCAATTTAAATACTTACGTTTTAATAAAAACTTTGTGTGCAAGTCAATAACTTCTTCACCTATTTTATTCTTTGTTTCGTTTCTCCTTTATACACCAGAAATTTTTCTAGTTTATTTTTTACACTTGGTATCAGAGCGGTTTCGTTGAAGGGGGTGTGATTCGAGGTTAATTAGAATCAACCCCGGTTTCTTTTAATCGGGTTTGTAAGAGACTAACCGGAGGCGCGGAATAAACGGACGGGAATACGTCAAAGCGGGTGGCTTTGATTTGGTTCGTTTTGCGGGTGACGCAAGACGGTAAAGGTGGTTGTGACCTTGTCTTGTTGTCCGGTGGAAGAGTGCTCTCGGAACAAGCTTGATTAAAGAAGTCGGGGTTAAGGAGAAAAGAATGTCGTTGGTTAAAGAAGGAGGTTCGTTGACATATCAAGTTCCAGTTTTGACTCCAACGAATTATCCGGTGTGGGCGGTCAAAGTCAAGTCGATTATGGATGCACATGGCATATGGGAGACGGTCGAACCGAAGACGTTAGATAAAGCACCAGATCAAAAGAAGTCAAAACAAGCTCTTGCCTTTTTGTTTCAAGCGATACCCGAAGACATGGTGTTGAAAATGGCGAGTTACACCGACCCAAAGCAAGTGTGGAATGGGCTAAAAACACGGTATTTGGGAGTGAATCGGGTGAGAACGGCTCGACTTGCAACCTTAAAAAGGGAGCTTGAAAGTTTACACATGAAGGAGGGTGAAACGGTTGATGATTTTGTGATGAAATTATCCGGTTTAGCTTCAAAAGCAAGGAGTCTTGGATATGAGCTTGAAGAAGGTGATTTGGTAAAAAGGTTACTAGATTCGATGCCTAAGTCGTTTCTTCAAATCGTGGCTTCAATAGAGCAATGTTTCGAGTTGGATTCAATGTTATTTAATGAAGCGGTTGGTAGATTGAAGGCATATGAGGAGCGTATAAGAGGAACCGAGAAAGTGGAGGACACTCAAGGTGGGTTGTTGTTGGCTAGTGAGGAAAAGTCACATGTTTGTAAGCATTGTGGCAATGGACGTTCAAATCAGGATGACTTTGGACGTGACCGGGGAAGAGGTCGGGGGTCCGGGAGAAGTCGAGATGGTAATGAACGTGTCCGGGATAAAAGTCACGTTAGATGTTACAAATGTGGTGAGCTTGGTCACTATAAAAACGAGTGTCCTAAATGGGAAAAAGAAGAAGCGGGTCTAATCGAAGAGGAGTCGGCATTGTTTTGAACGACGAGTGGCTCGTATGACAAATCCGATTAAGGGGGTGATTGTTGGGTTAATCGGTTTTGGTATAGGAAAGTTGCCTTTTATTAATTCCCAGTTTTAGATTAGGAGTCAAAGTCTTTTATTTTATTGTTTTAGAAGTTTGAGTAGGTTTCAATTTCTTCTAGTTTAAAATAGGTGTCAAGGGTCATTAGTTTTATTTTCAATTTAAGTACTTACGTTTTAATAAAAACTTTGTCTGCAAGTCAGTAACTTCTTCATCTATTTTATTCTTTGTTTCGTTTCTCCTTTATACACCAGAAATTTTTCTAGTTTATTTTTTACAGTGACTTCATTGTGCAATATCATAACAATTGAATATAAATGAAACAGAGCAATCCAAACATCATACTTGAGGTAACAATGTTACATTGTTTACATATCGTATTTGTGTGACATCCCCATTTTCACGGCCAGAAAAGACCGATTTGTTTATGCTTTGTTTTAAAATCAGAGTAATCGTTTACAGAAAACAGTTGCGGAATTTGTTCCCAAAACAAAATGTGATAAGAATTTATCAAAGCATTTCTTTAAAGAAATGTATTTTCATTAAATAACAAAATCTCGGTATGTCATGTTCCGATACAGACCAAAAGTATAAACAGTATAAAATAGACCTTACAACAGTTATTTATAACTACTGATCTATAATCCAAAATCTCTCGTCAAGTCCACCAACTTATACTCTTGTGCCATTACCTGTAATGCAAAGAAAACTGAGTGGGTCAGGCTTGGGAGCCTGGTGAGCATATAGGGTTTTCAACCCACAATAATATAATTATTATATTTAATCATCAAACAATCAACCCAATTACCCATCCCCATTATCTTCTTTATTTCTTAAGGTTTTACCCTAAGAATCAACTATCCTTTATTCATTCGTTCCTAAGGATTGACCTAAGGAATTTGCACGAAGTCCATTGCTGCCAAAGTTTATCTATTAGGTACTAAATCCATAGCTATCAGGTGCTAACTCCATAGTCACCAAGGTTCACTTAACAGGCGCTAGCTCCATAGTCACCAAGGTTCGCTTTAACAGGCGCTAACTTCATAGTCACCAAGGTTCACTTTAACAGGCGCTAACTCCATAGTCACCAAGGTTCACTTTAACATGTGCTAACTCCATAGTCACCAAGGTTCACTTTAACATGTGCTAACTCCATAGTCACCAAGGTTTAGGCACTAAGTCTGCATAGTCACCAGGGTTTAGGCACTAAGTCTGCATAGTCACCAGGGTTTAGGCACTAAGTCTCATCCTCAAACTCATCTTTCCTCACACACCAACTATTTCATCTACCCA